ACTCATGCCCGGAAAAATCCGAGATTTCAATCAAATAGAAATCGCTATTCAAATTTTCTCTTGCCTCCAGAAAGAGTAACGACAAATTAACAAACTTGTTCCAATGGGAATAATTTAAATTCACAAAAAGATCAATTTATCAATTTAAAAAATCACCGGAAATGATTTTATACTGTGGATTACGTGAATTCTTCCGTAATTCGTTCAGAATATTTTCTTCTCGGTGAACGTCCGAAGGTATTGTTTTCTATAAAAATTCTGATATAACCGAGTGCAAAGTCTAGTCTCGCGGTACATAGTAATCAATGTCTCGCTGTTTGCCCCAACGCGACGGAAAAGTTTTACAATTGGGTCATGGAAAATCATTGAAAATGTCGCGACGAGTGATAGAAATATTATTATTGACGCGTTGGACTAATTAGCAGTCGTTGCCACCATTTCGGGGAATATTGCATTTGAAATTCTGGTTGTAAAACCATTCGCGGGAACGGGAGAGCCCAGACGATAGCCTTTGCAGTGATTACTGCTGATACTGGAATTTAATCTGCGAAACGCAAATCTATTCTTGATTATAGGTAATTTATTACTGTAACCTTCTTAGAAAGTTGATGTGAAATCAGGATCGGGTGCTGAATTTTCAGTAGACGAATTATCAATTGAAAAATCATAATTTATTTAATAATCTCCACTGATTACTCTTTCTTAATTCATTATTTCCGTTCATGATTGATTTAGCTGTGGGATATCGAGTATTTCACCCGAAAATACCTCAACACGGTAATCCATTGCATTGCAAATGTGCAATATCAATCAGTTTAATTTATTCAAGGAAAACACCACAACCCCAGGGTTTTGGGCTTTGAATGACAAGGTGCATTGAACTCTTGCACGAATGACCCGATTCCCCCCCCCCTCCCCCCGCTGATAAAAAAAGGGAAAAACAATGAAATTGTCATGACTTTCTTTATCAGATCTTATTATACCTTGATCGATGCTAAAGACACGGGGAACAGAGTAGGAACATCACAACAGGCGCTTTAAAAATATCGCAAAAGCTGAGGCGAGGGCCAATGACCCCCACGCAGCTCAAAGCCATTCGTACACTTCAGTCGTTCCTATCCTCCGATATTTCACTTGTTAAATACAATTATTCCCAACATCTCAGTAACCAGCCAACACTAATTATGCACCGGGAAAAAAGAAAATTACGTCACGTTAGCCACGAGCGAAATTCCCATTTCAATTCTTTACGTGAATTCCGGAAAAAAATTTTCGCCGCGATAAATACTTTTTTTAGAGGAATTAACGGCTGATATCGAAATTCTTGTAATAACCTTTTTTATGCAACTTATTATGATCTATAAAAAAGGTTATTATAAAAATTTCGGTATCTCCCTTCGATCGGCGAGAATTTCTCGAGAGCTGGATGAAAAATTTGAGTTGAAGACATTTTATTCGCACAGGGTTCAAAAGGTTTTCGATAAATATCTCGGAATTGAGGGCGGAAATTGAAATTTTTGTTTAAACCTTTTTTACAGAGCTAGGTCAGGACCACAAAAAAGGTCATTACAAAAATTACGCTATCTCTCTTGGATCCGGATAAATTAGCGATTTGAATGGTTTCACCGCTCCGGTGGTGAATTTTTCCGCATTTTCTACAAGAATATCGACATTTTCCGAAAGATGAAACGTTTTTATGAAATAATGGCTAATGTTGGACAAGTTTGTTGAACCCTTGCATGATCGGATTGAATTACCATGTGCTGGGCTACGTTAAATGGGTCGATAGCACGCCATTTATAGGCACACGGGACAACGGAGGCTTCAATTATGCGGAAAACTGGAAGTTGTATAAGAGAGGCTATTCGCGTTCATTCATGGTATCAGCCTATTTCGGTCATTATTTATCCGATAATTAATTACAGAGGCATCGGCTATAATCCAGAAGAATTTCGTCACCTATATTTTTGAGAAAAAAAAATACTTTGCGTCCAGTCAAAAGCTTCAGCCTAAATCTGTTTTAAAATCTTCAAAGAGCTTCATGTAACGGCCCATCACAACTGTTAAGTAATCTATTCCTCGTGGTTCTAGGCTTATTCCTCGAATAATGTTGGCAAGCACCAGCTGATCCAGTTTTCCGAGCCAATAACACGAACAAGTTGGTAAATAAAGGCAGATCATTCAAAACTAGATCCATCATGTCGTATTGTCCCAATTCACACTTGAAAAATGCAATAAAAATTGCAATTCCCAGTATTGAAATATTTTTTATAATATCAGAGAGAAATCTGCGCAGGAGCCGCGAATTTTCGGCTCAATATTTCCCGAGAATTGATGAAAAATGGCGAAAATTTGGTTCAAGCACCTGAAAAAAATTCAGTGAAATGGTTAAATAAATTGTGATGAGTATAATAATTAGATTATGTTATTATCAATGCGTGCTGTTGTAGACTGACAGTACAAGTGGCTTTTGACAAGTCAACACATGCACCGGAACTGGCCAATCATAAATCCACCTATTCAACATTCTCCTCCATGACCAGCGGCACAAACGGTATTAGGAGCAGCAATTGCTCGATGAAATACTAATTGAAACGAAGATGAGTGAAACTGCTGTTGGCGTTCGTTACCCTCGGCTTTTCCTCGGCAATCCACCGAGGGGAAATGTAACTGCTGACAATTATTTGATCGCTCAAACGAACCAGTTATTGAGAGCTTAACCCTCCTCGGTGCATCTCTCGAGGGATTAATTTATGGGGATCCCGCAATTGGGTCGTGGATAATAGTGAATCTAGTCTGTTGCGTCAACGTCTAGTTTTCAATTGATCCACGGAAATCCGCTCTCGAATGGGTGAAGCGATGAGATGAGACAACCAGATGAATATTGTTACACTTATTTCTCTATTTTCAGATTAAAAAAAAAAATAAGCATGAAGTGTACTTGAATGACGTACATTTCTAGTCTCGTGTGGAATTGATTGATGGGTGATACGAATCAGTCAGTTTGAATCGTCATGCCAAAGGCTTTTGTCTCGTTGCTGTATGACACCGGTAAATTAACCCGCACCAATAAAGCTCACTTGAGGAAAAAAAAAAATTGAAACTAGAGAGGGGTAAATCGCTGAGCACACAGAGTATGTCATCGAATCAAAATTCCAGTCTGAAGGACATCAATATAACCAACTGGACTCGACCAGTCCAATGCACACGCAATTCAACGTTATCCGCCATTCACTATTCATTATTGAACCGAGTCGAGAGATATTTATAGATTGATTTCTACCGGGATTCAATTCACTCGATAGATTGCCAATTCTTCGGGGATTGGGGTTGGAATTACTCAGAGGCACCGATCAGGAAGTCGTCATGCAAATTCTCTACAATTTCGTCACAACTCAATCGTCAATTGAAAGAAAATCCATTTACATTTCTCAAATGAAAATAAATGTCATAACGAATTAACGATTTGTTTAAAGCCAGGAACTGACATTGGATATTAAAAAAAAAAAATGAGAAATCACCAGCAAATTTATGGACTTGAACAAACGAAATACCTTTAATTGGCCATTAAAATGGGAAAAAAAGTCAATGAAAACGGGTAATAAACAGATAACTATAAAATTAATCATCCTCGTCCCTCAGAATAAACAACGGCAATACCATGAATATTCATGAACAAGTGCATTTAAACCTCTGGTTCAAGAGGTGATCGTGCATCAATGTCAGAGAAGGGAAATAAAGGAAAAGGAGAATAAACGAGAAAATGTTTCGCAGTCTCTTTCGGCAAATTAAAGCTGCCTCGTCCCAATTCTCAGATCTATTTTCATCTCGTCATCGGTTCGTAGCTCACAGCTTCCCCCAGAATCCAGCACGTGTAGTACATCATAAAAATAATATCCTCTCGATGATAACAAAGGCATTTGTCCAATTTAGTATCAATTATAACGAGTCTCTTGTATTTTTATTGGTAATTCCTTTTTTCTCGTGAGTCCTGGAGTTGTCTCTAATTTGGTATTTAGGTGGGCAATTATCGGTTTCATTTCGAGGCCCAGAATCGCATCTCTTGCGAAAATATTTGCTGGGCATTATAGCACCGTCCGTGACCCACAACTGTCCATCACCCCTGGGGCACGTGACGATGAGATGAACCACTCGTGGAGCACTTTTTCCTCTGGGTTGATGGACCACGAGATCCTTGACGCCTCGACAAATTTTTTATCCAATTAAAATCATTCCCTTTTGAATTATCAAAATGTTTTTTGTCTTTCAATTAAAATGGAAATTTTGTAAATTGATGAGAATAAAAAAATTCAGGTGCAATGCATCATGATTTCTCCCAGTAGTCGATTTTATCATTTGCTCAGTCTCTCGCCACGACTTCTCCCTGTTTTGATATCATCATCGGGTATCTCACGATGAATGATTTTTTAACCGGCAGTCTCAGCTGTTCCCTTGTAACATAAATAACGAGGAAAGTTTCTATAATGAACACGTAAAGTTTATCTCAGTTGGAGACAAGACAACAACAAGGAGAAAGGAGTCTAACTTACAAGTGTTGCCAGGATGCAACGGCATGGCCGAAAGTAGCGAGTGATATATCATCGCATTAAGGAGTATTTTTCCAATTTCCCGGTTAATCGACTCCTATGCTCGACTTTCTATTTTACGAACAATAGATTTTTATTTATTTCAATCCTAAACCAATAAACTATCTCATCCGAATTTCGCATTCATCTCTCAATTATCGATATATCTCGAAAACGGCAGGTCGAAATAAAAAACACTGAAAATCTTTTTTATAGCTCATTAAATTTCTGATAAAAAATATCTTTTGACATTTTTTTTTTAAACCAATAGATTTGAGGGGATGGACGAATCTTTGGAATTGAAAAATTTGACGATTGATTTTTTGCGTAATTTTTTTTGGTTTTGAAAGATTAATTAAATTTTGGTATTTGAGGATGAAAAATTGATAGAAAAGTTTTCTTTTTGGGTTCCAGTGGTCTACTGCGATTACACGTCATCGGGTCGATCCCTCCAGTTTCTGGAGGAGTACATATCCAGAGAGGTACTGCCATGTCTAGGTGACACACGCGCCTCTACTTCCATTTGCAGCCTGCAGTCATCTTTGTTCAGGTGAGTTCCCCTGAATCTCGGATGAACCTAGAGGTCAGTATCTACGGAGGCAGGTGTACCTGCCATATAACCGGATCTGCCACTAGGTCATGTAGAGCACCAGAGACAACGCATGACTCTCTTCTCAGCTCAGATCAATAACTCCACAACCCGAGGCGTCACCCCGCGACTCAAATCGGAAATTGTATTCGATTATCATTTTTTTAATGAAATATCCGAGAAATAATATAATGATGAACTCAAATCGAGACTTTTCAAAATCTCAAATAAAAGATTTTTCCTTTTTTTTTTCTGAAATATAATAAAATTATGGGACAAATCGAGTTCCTCAATTCTGTACGCAAACATGACAAGATTATTGTTCGTTGGAGGGCTCTCGCTTTCTCCAGTGATCGAACAGATCTCGATCGAAAGTCACTGGTCGAGATAATTCGACTCTCGCGTCTACTTCTGCGTGTCCGTTTGATTTCGCGGGAATTCAGGACGCGGGTCGCGATTGATCCGAAAGTTTTCATCGATACTCTCAGGACAATTCTCCTTTTTTTCCTCCCCGCATTTCATTTACTCACGTGTGCCACTTTCATTAATACGTAATAGGTAACAATTTCGATGCTGCACCCTTCGTTACAACGCGCACACACTCGCGGTTTCCGGGAAAGTGTGCATAATTAATTTACTCGTGGCATACCACAAGGCCAACAACGCCCACCCTTTCTTCCATTCCAATAACCCACTGCGCAATGAATTTCTCGAGTTTGATTATTCGAGGAAAACCGTATTTTCCACCGATTGGGGACTAGGTCAATGGGAATGTCTTTTGTCCTTCAATTCAATGTCACACCCCGCGTAAAAAAAATTGTAATCAGAATATTGTTTCCAAATTTTCCAAAAATGTCTTGAAAACTTTTCAGAAAATTTTTCTTTTCAAACGAAAAAAAAAATTGGGAAGCAAAACAATTGTATTTTTGGGAAATGTTTTGTTTCGGAATATTATATAATTGTCTAGAAATTTTTGTGAATATAATTTTTTCTTTTAATTGTTTGTTTTTCCGATTTTTTTTGTGTCATAAAAAAAATTTTCTGAAAAGTTTTCCAAAAATTGTTTGAAAATTCGGAAAAAATATTCCAATTACAATTTTTTTTTACCCGAAACAAAAATAATGCCACCGAGCCCAATAAAATATCCAATTGTTCCCCAATTTTGCCATAAAAACAAACAAATAAAAATCCTGAAATTATTCACAAACCGGCGAAACACGTGTCCTCGAAAAAAATAAAAAATCTCACGACATAATTTCTCCCTGCAGCGCATATTTCTCTCCCCATTATTTATGTTATTTTCTCATGGAAACCCAAAGCCGAGGCCACACAGTTCATTATGCAGGTGTTGCATTAACTTCCCAAAGTATAAAAAAAAGTCATAACTTCCCGGAACCGCCAGTAGCAGTGAAAATTATTTGGGTCAGGGTGGTATTCATTGGAGGGTCGTTGCATCCAGGCAATTAAATTTCCTCCAGAATGGGGCAAATAAAATTACTAGTGCGTACACCCACCACCTAGGTCCGCGAGAGTACAAAAAAAAATACACTGACAATTAGTGGAACTTTGCGTGGGTAAATGACACTCGTAAACCTGATGTATCGTATGGATAATGAATATCCGTTGGTGTCGATTTGCGGAAGGCTTCTGAACGCGTGAGGAACTTCAGGAACAGGAAATTTCGAATACCAGGGGGACCTAATGGACTATAAAATAGTATGAACACCGCCTGAGAATAGAAAGTTAGGAAGGAAAGTCTTGCATTCGGCGCATCGTGCAAATGTCGACCGTGCAGCACGATAATATGTCGATATTTTCTGATCATGATTGCGGAAGATTGGGACAAAACGAATATCCCGCACTATTCTCCCTTTACAAATTTAAAACTCACGAGATTAAAATAATCTATAAAAAAACGACATTCCAAATGAATTGATATTAATATATGAGTAATTATATGAATAAAAATCATGAAAATTTATCAAGTCTTTTTTTACCACAATAATTCTCTCGACTTGAATGCGTTAATAAAAATAAACGGTTTTTTAGTAATTATAGAATGAAACTTGTCCACAACTCTGAGTGCTATAATGCCGACAGTAAACAACTCCCTGAATAAACCCCGAACCGTCAACGTCAATATTTCAAGTGGAGCTAAAGCCGAGGGCACGTATTCGCCTTGAGGCAATTGGAGATGCAGCAGCAGACACTGACATTCATGTCCCGCCAAAGATGTATTTCCCCGTGATTTTCCTCTCATTTCTCCACCCGAATGACTCAGAGATGTATCGTCTACTCAAAGAGACATCTATTTTCGCCAATGGAGTCATCTTTAAGCACGAGATAGTGGCAATTGCGATTATTCTGCCAGAGATTTTAACGTGATTGTTCTGCCCGATTATTCCTATTTTCCTGAGGTCACCCGTTGACATCTGACAACGAATTTTTATCACTCGCGTTTTCCCCCGGTGCCACTATTATTCTTGGAGACGTCGCACTTTGACAAGGACGTCTGCACATCGCATTGTCAACTGACATTTATTGAATCGAGAGGACAGAGCCATTAAAGTTATTGTCCACTTGATTTCATGTCTAGGGTATTATGAATGGAAGGGGAAATTGTTTTTGTCTAGTACTTTCTTCGACCTTTTGGTGTGCGTCGAGTAATTATTTTTAGCCTCCCTTTAATACCCCGTCGACATTTTCATCGGACACTTGTTATTGCCAGGAGCTCTTCTTCACTCAGAATTTTTTTTAATCCGTTCAATTACTGGAAAAATATCCCGTTACGTTAGAAAATTCAAACGCATTCCCTGGAAATGATATTAAATAAATTACTGGTGCAGCATTGTATTTAAATTTTTCTCCGAGAGTAAAATAATCCGCAACAACCAGAAAACGACAATTGAAAAATTCCTGGAGATGGAATTTCATGGTTAGACTATTAAATTCAAAGTGCGAATGTCTAGACAGAGTGGAATAGTCTGCGTTATCTCGTATCGTATGGATTTACGGTACTTTCTGGTCAAATGGTTGGAGCCCACTGACTCGGATTTTGTTGAGAACCCGTCGCCAATGTTGGAATAGACTTCCTCGAATGCTGGATCCGTTATTGCTCCAGTAAACCCATGCATTCCAATATCTGGGGCACATTCGTCCCTTGATGCTCGTTACATCCTCCAGAGAATATTTGATTAGTCGACCCAATTCAATGCCACACTCACCTCTGATATTCTTCTGGAAATATTCCCGTATGACCTTGACCCGATGCAGCATCAGGGTTTCCAGATTTATTTCCTCTCATCCTGATGAATATGAAAGTACATTTGCCGCTCGGCGGAGAGAAGCGCGACTGATAAATAAAATCCGAGGCTAAATAAATAAAATCCCCGCTCCCTCGGAGAACATGAGATTGAATTAATGATCTTTAAAAACGATATTGAAAAGACAATTGCACTTGTCAGTTTAGTTTTGAAAAATTTGTCAGTCCAGTCATAAATTTGACAACCGAGATGAATAAATTGAATTTTTACTTGCCGCTGGGATGAACTGGAAATAAAATGGTCACCAGGGAAACGACTCAGCCTTGAGCGAGGCGAGACCTTGAGCTTTTGTGGAGGATTTTGCAGAAATAAAGAGACAGGCTTTTTTAATCAGCGGCTTTGGGCTCTCCGAGGGGATCAGGTTTTTAATAACTCCGGGGTGCGAGAGAATCTAGTGAATGGAGCTTGCGGGGTACACGATATCGAGGACTTGTTTTACGGATTGATTTGTGAGATTAGGTGGGAAGTCTGTGAATTTATTATTGCAAGGCGTTTCCTGTGGCATTTCAAATGCAGTTCAAGTGCAATATCCGGGGATTGAGGGGATTGAGGGGAATGAGGGGAATGAGGGCTTTATGATTAATGCCACGGGGCGGTAGCCACGGACACGGATTTTTTTTCAAAATTATGATTTAATGAATTCAATATTTTTTGGTTCACATGAGAATTTTTTCGTCGAGTCGGTTTCAGTATACCGTATTCAATCCCGTATTTGCTAACTTAAGTAGTCGACCCAGTCCTAAAATACCGAATCTCTCAAAGTGAAAATGACCAGAGCAACCACTTCTCGGTTAATCGGCCGTTTTCATATTCTCCAAAATAGAATTCCAGACTGGCCGGATGTGATTTTCCAAAGTGGCAGTTCCTCGAAATGAATTCTCAACTCGCGGAGATAATTAAACGTCAAAAGACACCGGAGTTCAAAGCGAAATGCCCCTCGGAGTTGCGGTAAACAAGTTGAATTTCACAAGTTGAATCCGCTTACAAAAATCCACACCGACACCGGATCTTGGAATTCGAGGAGGTGACGATGTTCGTCGTAATTCAACGCCTAAAGTTGCTGGAGTCATTACATTGAAGCGTTGGGAAAATTTGAAATGAAGACGGACAAGTCCCAGATTAGAACGGAAAGAAGACTCAAAACGTCGCGTCAAAATCTTTTTCAAACAATAAAAAATTCCCATCAACCTAATAATTTAAAACTAATTAAAAACGAATGGTAAAATAATTACAAGTGAGGAATGAATTCTTCAAGTAATTGTAATCGAAGAAGCAGTTTTTCCGAATGAATCATCAAGGGGGGGATAATCTTTTGATTTAAATATCGAGAACTGGCTGCAGACAGAAAAATGGAAATCCGCCAGTCCTTTTAAGGTCTGGATCCCGTTGCCATACGTGTTCTGTCAGTGGAAAAAAAAAATGTTAACGATCTGTACCGTGTTTTACAGGCACGAGGCCAGAGACATCGTTCGCCATGCTGTTGGGGCAGGAGAGCAGGACGCTGTACTCTTTACAGGTCATGGTACCGATGATGCCCTGCGTACTCTTCTTCATCATCTTGACCTCCCTGGGAGGCCGATGATCGTCTTTGTCGGCCCCTTCGAACACCACGCCAACTTGCGACCCTGGCGAGAGCACCACACCAAGGTACATCGTTTTTATTCACTCCTGCATTATTTTTTTCAAGGTGCACATCGAGTCGCAAATTCCCAATGAAATATTTTTTTTTGCATTTGCATTGGGCTTGCGTCATACAATTCTCCGTCAAATTTGTAAATGGAATTTATTGAAATCGGTAGTCGAGAGATGATTTTTGATATTTTGGTGTTTGATCTTGTAAGAGTGAGACATTTTTGCGGGAGATTTGTGGGTCATTGATGCTCGCCGTTGGCCAGATAGTAAAAGTCAAAGTCCTATGGACGATAGCCAGAAAGTTTTTTCGATTTTAAACTTTGAGAACCGAAGGGAGATGGAATAATACTGTCTGATACCAAGCCAGAAAGCACAACAGCTTCGCCACCGATTTTGGCAGGACTCCAGACAGTTCCTGGTTGAAATAAAAATTTACAGAAAAGCCTAGCCGCTCTCTCTAAGAAATTCTATTGATTCCACCGACTTCTATACTTTTTTTAAATTTACATCAGGATAATTTTGGAATTATCAAATTATTGGAATGATTATCACGAAAAAAGCGGGTAAAACCAGGTTCTGTGATGTTTCAATCTTCATTGATTGAAACCGCGACTTTTCAACAATTGATTTAGATTCTACTCGAGCGTAACGTTATTACGTAACCCGAGTAATTGACGAGCGTTGATTTATAACTCCGGCATCAAGTGGCAACTCCTTTCACTTCAAATCCCCTTCGTTGCGTTAATAATTGTAATTATTGCAAGGTGGTGAGGATTGCCGAGACGAAGGAGGGATTTTTGGATCTGAACGACCTCGAGAAGAAACTCCAGGAAGCTAGGACACTTGATGGTATTATGGTCGGTTGCTTCAATGCCGCCAGTTGCATTACTGGAGTTCTTGCTGACGATGTTGCCACTACCCTGATGTTACGTCAGTACGGAGCACTCAGTGTTTGGGATTACACGTCAGCTGGTGAATATCAATTACTCAAAACCTTAACAATAAATACTCAATCCCTCCCCACGTGCTTCCCACGCATTTCCATTTCCAGAAGACACAATTATAATTCCCAGAGACGAAGGATTGGTCATTACAAAAAAAAATGCTTCACACAATTACAACAATAATTGATTTAATTATATTGATAAATTCGGGGTTAACGAAAATTTAATCGACGCCGAGTTGTCCAAAAATCTTCGCAAAATGTCTCGGCGTGTTTGATATAAAATTCGCAAAAAGGAAAAAGATCGTTGGAAAATCTCAAGCCTTTAATGTGACGATGTCTTTTTTATCATTCAGGTCCATTCGTTGAAATGGACATGAATCCACACTTACCAGGCGTGGGCGAGACTGCAGTCCACAAGGACGCGATAATATTCAGTGGTCACAAGTTCATGGGTGGCGCCCAGTCACCTGGTGTCCTTGTTATCAAGAGATCACACCTATCAAAAGACATTGCAACTGAGGACATGAGGGATTTGCATCATTACCTCAGGGATCCAGAGTTGAGGGAGGAGAGTGGTACTGCTGGGGTTGTCGAGTCAATAAGATGCGGTTTGGCAATGCAACTTAAGGAGAATGTCACGGCACAAGCTATTGTCACGAGACAAGATAAAATATCCAGGTGAGGGAATTCACTCTTCATCGTTTGAACATTATTTCACAGCTCGTTGTTATCGTGATAATTTTTATGAGCACATCATCGCAATTGTCAGTATCTTATCGGGAGATCCGGTGATACCGGTTTGATCTATTGTTGGCACTCTTCGGTATTATTTTTATGCGATTTTTACTGATAGAATCAGGTAATTGCTGGCCTTGACCATGACTAGTGGAGGCGAGGGAGTTGTGGTCAGACTGATTGATTCATGAATATTCAGTGGGAATAATGGTTTTGACATTGCCTGATCGGTGGATTTTTTTTTTCCTCATCTTTGGTTTCAAGTGATACTGAACTTTCCAGTCTGATGACTATTGTCCCAGTGGCGGGGATTGACTCAGTGTTTTTAGGTGAATAGCGATTACAGTAATATGATTGTAGATGTTCAATCGACCTATGACACACCGATGAATGCGTCACTGGCAATTTCTTTATGTCCACTGTATCAGAGGCACTGACCCCGACCTGGAGTCATGAAGCGTTGATAAATATTTTCTACGTTTTAACTTTTAACATTTTTTTTTTCGCAAACTCTCCCGATAATGTACGACCCCTTAATTAATATCACATAATTCACACGTGATACGCTATGAGAACGTTGACGTAATCACGTATTCCCGTTAATTGGATTTCATTTATGTGTTTTTTAGACAAGTGTTGGCGCACGTGCGAACGATACCGGAGCTGATACTTCTTGGCAGCTCGTCTAACAATATCAAACGTTTGCCAATATTTTCGTTTATGGTCAGACATCCCAGGGGCACATTTCTACATCATAATTTCGTTTGCGCTATTTTAAATGATGTTTTTGGGATTCAAGCGAGAGGAGGATGCGCCTGCGCCGGTCGATATGCCCACGATCTCATGGGAATTGACACTGACCTTGCACGGAAATACGAATCTGTGCTTTCAGACAGGTATTTCGAATTTGTTATCGCCACGGAAAATCAATTTGGGAGTCAGTGGTGAAACGGTGAAACGGTTTCAGTCGATTCTCGATAAAAATTAGTCATTGAAATCGACTCTCGATGGTGGAACTCTCACTCTTTTTGGGAATGCAATAGAATGGGTCAAGTTGCAATTCTAATCCCAAACGAGCTGTGTCGACATTAACTAAAAAAAGATAATTTGAAAAATGAGTCATGTCGACATTCCTCTTTCAACTGAAAACAGCGACAGAAATATTCTGAGAAGTTTGAGAAATAAATGAAGAACTGGCCGAAGATCAACTGAAATTCATTAATTAGTTTGCCCAACGGCAATCAATTTTTCGGCTCTCCTGTAAAATTGACTTTTTTCGACTGGAACCGTTCGACCGCTTCGCTGCTGAAGAATACAGCGAAGAGATCCTTGAAAAATCTATTATTTTTTGCAGCGTATTGCATTGTGGCCGTGATGATTGCAACGGGGAAGCTCTTCGTCCGGGTTTCGCACGTCTTTCCCTCCCGTACTTTATGTCTGAGGCTGAATTGGCGTTTGTCCTGGAAGCCCTGAAGATGGTGGCGACGGAAGGTTGGAAGCTGTTACCGCAGTACGTGCTGAACCCGGACACAGGAGAATGGCGCCACCATACAAATTCAGTGTTCAAGGAGAGGAAGTGGTTAGGTTCGATAAGATACACCGACGGTAAGATGGTGGCATCAGAACGTCGAGTGTCCAGTGGTGGTGGAGTTTTTCCCCAGAGTTACAGCGATTGTCTGCAAACAGCGCGAAATATTTTCAACAGAGCGCGAAAAATGGCACACAGGTATCCCCTGCAGATCGACAGAAGCGTGAACTTCTCGGAGAAGCTGGAGCGCCTCCGGTGGTTTATTCTGCCGGCAGAAGCTCAGGACCTGCTCCTCGGTAATTCGCAGAATGTCAAACAGGATTTGCCGTTTGATCCTCAGTCGAGGAGGCACCACTGGCGGGAGATCAGCCTGAGCGCTTCGTCAATCCGAAGACTAAACAGCGACATCCCGAGGACAGGGAATAATCCGCTGTCGGCGCTGTCGTCACCTCGTCATCACAGTCTGCCTGCCCTCTCGATGACGAGGCAGAGCAGTCTGCAGGACGAAGGTACCATAGAAATCGTGGACAAGCCGAAGAAGCCATTTGAGAGAAGCCAGACAAGCGGCCAATTTTCTAATACCTCGTCTCGATCAGGTTCACCCTCGCCAGCGGTTAAATTCGCTGTTGGTGAGGCCGTGTCACCTCCCATGATTCTTGGAACAACTCCAGTTGGTGCAAGACTCATGTCGGAAGAACACGCAGTGCCACCTGGAGGAAATGTACCGCGAATGGGGCGCGCCAGGTGTAATTCACTGGGTAGCAGTGCAATAGGAAAGACTCTACCAGTGCCAATTCCGCTGAGTCCTCAGACTTTGGCGAGTCTAGGACTGGGGAACTCGTCTGGCTTCAACAGGAGCCACAGGCCTTGTAGCTGTACCAGTCGAGTGGAATTATCTTCCTCCCTTGAGTTTGATGGAGCTAACGACAGTCCAAATAGATCGCCCTTGTCATCTTCCACTTCCTCACCCACGTCCTCCTCCTCACCTTCACCCTATCCCTGTGGCTACTCCTCTCTAACCTCTCATCATCCTGCCCATGCACATCACTGTCCTCAGCACGAGGGATCAACGCAGAAGCTGGACAGGTGCTCTCCCATTCTCTCGAGTTTCAGCCAAAGCTGTGACGACGATCTGCATGCCTACCTCAAAGGCAGGACCGAGGATATTGCCACTGAGATCAAGTCCGAAATCAGAGAAGTCATATCTAAGGTCGACGATGTTCTGTCCGAAAGCAATTTATCGGATCTCGGAACTCCTCAGCATTATCCACACAGAACGATCTCTGCTGGAAGTGATAGGTCTCACAGAGACGACTCCTTCTCAGCTAGTGAGATTGCCGAGTATCTTATGGAATTTTCGAAGGAGATGGCAAGCGAAGTCAAGTCTGAAATCCGATGTATGGTGAATGCAGTCGATGGTCTGGGTAGATTCTCTCCAGATCTCCACTCATCGACTCCGTCGACCAATTCCCCTGGATACAAAACACCAGAGAGACGACTCCCAGACTCACCCCTGGCGAGGCTCTCGAAGGGTGCCAAACTCAACGAACTCCTTCAGTCCCAGGAGAGTAAGATGTCGAGCGAGTGTTCATCAGACGAGACTGTGATATACGTCGTTGGTCCACGTGCAGCTGCTCAGACAAATCACGAGAGAGCGAAGACATCTGACGAGGAGGAGGAGCACAGCGGTAAACAATCGGCCAAATCAGTTGTAGAGATGTCATCCAAGGGCGTCAAGACGTTGCCAGAGATATATTCGGCTATTAATTCAGTGAGCTCACAGGATAGTGGTATCAATTTGTCATTTCACGAGAGTGACGTGAGAACGACTGATCATCTTGGTAGAAGTGGATCGAGCAGCAGTGGAAGCAGCGCTGAGTCATCTGGCACGAGTTTTCTGAAGAAGTGCAAAGGCATGGTTGAGAGGAAACGAGATGATAAATTGCCAAATGATGTGTCGGATGATGAGGACATCAGGGAAGAAGATGTATTGATGTCGGAGGATGAAGATGTTTTGTTAAAGAAGCTGGAGCAGAGTTGTGAGGGTAGTGGACCTCAGTGGCATAGTCCCTCAAGGAGTATCTGGAAACCGACCGTCGAGGCCATTCATGAGTACGATATGATTAGAGATAAGGATAGAATTCTCGTCTGTCTTCCTGTGTCGACGGTTGGTGTTGGTGTGGCTGCAGGGCGACACTCTCTTGCTCTCCTACACACACTCCATCAGTACCAGTTCTACGCAAAGTCCAAGAGCATTGATTTCGAGATCGGCGCTGTAACAATCAACAGTGGGAGCAGTTACGATCCCTTGGAAAGCATGAGTTATCTTAAAAACTTACAGGTCTCTTATTTTTACGAAGAGGCTGAGGAGCAGGCCGAGCTCATCGACGCCGGAAAGAACTCCGAGAGAAATTGTGAGAGCTGTGAGGTCTGTGGACGAGCTGAGGATGTAACCCGACAGAGGCTCTACGCTGTTGCTAAAAGATACGGATACAATGTTTTGGCTCTTGGACAGCATCTGGACGATCTTGCTGAGGGCTTTCTCTCGTCATTGTTCTGCACTGGCAAGCTCAAGACCATGAAGGCTCATTACTTCGTCAAGGAGCAGGAGCTCAGGGTGATCAGACCCTTTGTTTACGTCAGGGAGAGGGCACTCAGGCAATTTAACGAGGACAAAAAACTACCGATGTTGAGGGTCAAGTGCGCGGGATGTGAAGAAAGGGAGGCCATCAAATTGCAGAGGAATAGGGAACTCTTGGCATTGCAGGAGAGGTCTTACCCGAGATTGTATTGGTCCTTGAGGACTGCACTCAGACCTTTGATACTGGCTAGGGGTCCCGCTCAAGGGCTTCACCTTGCACAAAGGCACAGGCATAAAGGGAAGAAGGGGGCACTTGCCAGTTTGACGATTCTTGCGACTTCTCAGGAGTTGGAGGATACCGAGAGTGATGATGAACAGGTTATTTGAGAGGGTGTCGCAAGATGTCGGCAGTTCAAATTTGGTGGGGTTAGGGGTCATCCTGGGGGCAAGGCTTATGAGAGGCTGGATTGAATAAGACTTTATTGTGAGAAAGCTGACTTGGCGTTGTACAGATTGATGATTATTTTTGGAGTTTTGGCTGTCCCGGGGTGGTGGATGGTGCAATCTGCTGTGGATCTGGAGTTTCAGGCTTTGTTGTTCTTGATTTGGAGGGAATTGTTTTCGTAGCCTTTTGTACTTTGAAACTGATGAAGTTTGAACGAGATCCACTGCAGACTCCGCTTGTGGTACTTCCAGACATGTTTGTCCTGATACTTGTGATCTTTGTCTTGAAGTATCTTTGGATATTTCGATGATTCAACTTGTCAGGCAATACACTGATGTAACTGTGAAGTTTGTACATACTTTATAATACGGTTATGTTGACGTTGGACAATGTATGCATGTTACTTATTATGAAATCGTAGAATTTCCAAGTGGCTCGGAAGATAGATTGATCCAAATGAACGGCGACAGTACGGATGATCCAAAAATTCAATGACTTTTCGATACAAATGGATATCTGATGAATGGTTGAAGTGTTTTATAAATTTGTAAATGACGATTGAGCGCAATATGGTGATTTGTACTTAGTGCCGTCCCCGTTCATCATTGCTCGCGTGTCTCGATGTGAATTCTAGATTTTTATGGTGAATTTAATTGCTTATGGAAATTTCGTGACACACCCCATTGGCGCTTTCCTCGAGGACAATAATATCAAGAGACTGCCTCGAAGACTAAATTTTTTAAGAAACCCCTCGGCTATTTCACGCCGGATATTTGTATTATTGTCACTTCGGAAATTACAGAGGTTTTTGTGGAAATGGTTTCAGAGAATTGACATGATTGAGGATTTTCTAGTGTACAAAGCAAAACATAAACCCCAGAAATTGTTACACATTTAGAAACACGTTCAAATTGGAAATGTGGAGAGAAGTATTTTCGACGTGGGGCTTTTGGGAATCAGACGAAATGAGAATTGATCGTCATTGCATTTCGTAGAGTGTAAGAGTTGCGTTCATGAAACATTGACTCGTACTTAATTCTCGAGACGATTGCAGACGAATTTTATCAAGTTTACGATCGTGATATCACTTGATTAATGGTTAAAAAAAAAAAATATGAATGAGTTACGAATTTACGGTACATGATGGCGCGAGCACGTCCAGAGGCACACAGCCCACAATGTAATTACAAAATAATAGATATTTATGGTATATATTTTCTGAGAGTTAAAATGAAGAATGCATATTGTTAAATATTGTAAAGATGTGTAATTTTATTTATGGCTAATAAATAAAGCGTTTAAAATAATCACCATGGGACCACTGGTATTCAATGAAATCAACGGATTGCAATTTTCATTATTGATTTATTTGAATTTTTAAAATATTTTAAACATCGCATAATAGCTTTCGTCGTTAGCGTTAACAATAGACTTTTGAATCTCTTTTGATATCTGCAATCAGTGGAATAAATTTTTAATAGACGAAATACTTATTATAGTAATGGAAAAATTCTTCAGGATAAACGCGATCGAGTCGAACGAATAAATCAAGCATTATCTTAATCACAATTAATTAGTACTTTCTTACATTCACGTGTTATTGGATGGCCAACACCCAATCATTATTAACTCTTCGATATATACATTTTTCAATTGAATATCGAGAATTTTTGAGCATAGTGATATCGACGCAGACCAGAGACATTTTTTCATTGTTTGCGATTTAATTACATAATTAAATTAAACCCAGCAGCATTAATAATAAATATGTAAAAAAACATTGTAATTTCCTCCGACTGATAAAAGTCGATGAGGATAAAATTTTTTTTTTGTCTCGAATAATGAAAATTCGGATCAAATCAAAATCGGAAATGAATTTTTCTACTCTACTCAATTGTCATTAATTTTCATAAAATTATTAATTTGCCCTTAATCTGTTTCGCAAATGATGACATTTTCGGTCATGTCCACATCATGTCATTCGAATTTATAGAAACCTACATTAAGACAAGTCGATAAGAGAGACTTGTTATCAACTGACATAAGCGCATGCGTACGTAATCAGAAGTGACTTCCGGGGAATCCCCGTAGAGTTCTCTCACAGTCCCTTTGTCGGCAAAAATGTTTAATTACCCGAATTGACAATTTTCAAAATAATATTACAGAGAGGTTGATAGTATATAGCGTGCACACAGAGTTGAGTAATTTAATCGATGAAAAATACATCTTTGCAATAATCATCAGCCGCGTTCACAAGTACTCCTCGTCGTTAACGGTTCATTCGAACTATTTTTCTAATTATAAATAGTCATTCTTTCATATTCTTAAGTGCTGAAGCTAGTCGGATATGTGAATGCTATAATCCCTGTATCAACAAAAACAATTTAACCCGTTCCTTGAGTAATCCCCGATATTAAAATTATAATTGCATTCTATTGAATGAAACGCGGAATCTCGTTTCCTCATTAATTCTCAAATCGATAATTGAAGGGAGTCTTATCGGGCTTTTGGGGGAATTGAAATTCAAGCAATGGGAGCTTCTCATTCTGCAACTGGACCTCTCGTTTGATTGTAAAACGCGAAATCTCGTCGGAGATTAACGCGGGACATTTTAATAGTTGAGAATAGCTACAGGGATTGAGTCGGATTATTCAGGAATATAGGAGTCAAATCTATTTGATCACAATTTTTTCACGGGAAAGCAATTGGACTGTTAATTAATTCAATGTACATGATACATACATATGTATACACAAATAGTTACACGTGTGTAGCGCACGCTGCGAAGTGGCGAAATTTCGCTGAGAAAAAACATCCGCCAAAATAAAAACACAACTCCAAACAATTTCTCCTGAAAAAAAAGTAATCACCTGATAAATACAATTTATTCAAATAAAATTCATTCTCTTCTCTAAAAATTACGGACAATTTTGTCATTTTTATTTATTCAGGGAAAAAAGTGGTGAATATTTCCTTCGAGATGTTTTCCCTCCGCGTAGTTCAGGTTCAGGGGTAATGATTGAATTATGACTAATAAAAGTATTCTGAGATATCAACGTTATCATAATTATGTTTAAAATCCTTAGATCGATCAGTTTATTCCGACTAACGAATAAAATTGAATAAGAATATTTTGGAATTGGTGACGAGTGGTTCTAGAAGGGCGGCGACTGGGGTGTTTCTTCCTCATCCTCATCCTCGTCCTCGTCCTCACCAGGGTCAACCAGCGAGCGTGCAAATTCTGGACAAACACAAGGCCCAAGTAAAGATGATGAATTTCAAGTGAGTACGGGTCATGAGAACTTCAGGAGATGAGTAAACATTGCGTGGGACAAAGTTTTAATTAGTGTTAATTAATCATCCGGAAATTGCGGGAACAATAACCAACTTTATCAATATCATTCTCAAATAATAACTTTGGAAAACCTTTATTCAATTCCATCTGCAATCACCTTCACTCATTTACTTCAACCTGCAGTAATAATTCTTCATTTTAATTCAATTTTTTAATTACTGATCAAGGTTTTATAAATTGATGTTAATATTCAGTTTTCCAGGAGGGATTGCTTCTCAAAGGAAAAACTTTTGGGCCCTCAGGTTCTTTGAGTTCTTCTAGTGGACAGTTGAACAGTTTCTAGGCATCCGAAGTGACAAAATTGAAAACTGATTGAACATCACTGGACCTATATTGCCGCGATGTCTAGAACAGGGTCACAAAGTTGCATTCAGTGCTTTGAGGGTGAAGTTTGATAAAAAATAGAGGTCGTAGGGGATTTGAATGGTACGATTGGGAAGCAAGGTGATAGTACTTAAGAAAGTTTCGTCATAGTGTAACATTGCCCGTCGTTCACAGCCTCTCTGATTATAAAGAATCAACTTTGACGGGATGCTATTCTCTCTCGTATCTCCAGTCAACTTTTCACATTGAACCGACGCATTCGATGGGCTCCAATGGGCTTTAATTACCTCTTCTTTCATAATTTTGTTAGTGGATTCGATTAGAGTGGGAGAGAAAATTCATTTTAATTTTTAGAGCACGTCTCATCCTCATAAAAACTCAATATCATTATTGTTTTCTCACCGTAAAAATCAATCCTCCCGTCGCCGTCCTCGTCTACCTCCTTGATCATGTCCTCAACTGGATAAGAAAAATCATTTACATTAGTGTCATCATTTTATTATTTTTATTCTATGCGGTGAGACCCGAGAACCGTCTCGTACTTTTATTGACGGGATTACGAATGACGACTTAATCAGCTGCACTTGGAAACATTCCTCCGAAAACTCGCTCTGTAATAATGAAGTGCAACCGCCGTTCGCGTAATTAGGAGCCATTGGTGGGTGGTTGTGTTAACTGGGCTGCAATAACTCAAAAATTATCTCGTCCTCATTATTCCCAGGTACGAGGATTTCACTCTGGGTGTGAATGCTTTTACTGTGAGTGAAGTTTTTAAATCACAAGTGGAAAAAATCATATTGAGGACGATTTTTATCTCGAGTGGTTAAATGTTGAGCTTTTAATTCCCTTATCGTGGATAAATTAGAGTAGAAAAATTATCCGGTGGGAGGAGGAATCCACTTATTAAAAAATGTTGGAATTCGCGGAGAATTTTTACACCGGATTTTCAGAGGATTGACGCGCTAGTCTCGATTGTGAAAATTGTTTATTCTGCTTCAATTTTTATAATACAGGATTTCCGTTTTTAGGAGTATCTAATATTTTTTAATTATTCATTTGTTAAAATAATTATTGTATAGAGAATTTTATTTGGAATATTTCAATCACGTGGAACGAGAGAAAAACGAGAAACACCGAATAAAAAACACCCGAGTAATTACCAGAGGGAATGAGTTTGTAAAGTTGAGGGGACAAACTCGACATCGAGGGTTTACTCCTCGTTACGGAAGAGCAAATACCAGATTCTTATCCACATGTCGATTGAACCAACAAAAATCATGGGAACACACTCGATCTGCGACTTTTTCCGCAAACTCAGTGGAAAAATAGAAGCCCTCGAGAGCTCCAATTAAATTGGCAATTGCAAGTGTTTGAGTATGACTCCAGTTGATTTCGCAATTCATGTCGCCCTTATTATCTAAATATATTATGAGGCTGATTACCGCAGCTCGATTAAAATTCATCCTGTGAACACCCAGTGGCGAATAAATCCATGATGCTAATTAGTCGATGAATCTGGATAATTAATTCCGTGAAGAGTCAAAATCGTCCCAATTATCCTGAGTATTTTGTTGTAGCGAATGCATTCAATCGATGATTGATTGTTCTCGATAATCGAGAAGTCAGTGCAGTGCAATATCTTGGGATTTCAAGCGTGCGATAAAAACGTTAACGCGAATTTTCTTGTATCAAGATTGGGGGGATGGTCTAGACAAATTGTAATTAATTACTGGACATTCCTGAGGGATCCCCGGAGCCGGGACTCTTTTACTGCTGGTTTTCTTGTCTACTATCGGTCGGTAGTCAACCATTCGTGAATTATATCGGAGAAATGAAGAGAATGCATGAAAAAGGAATTATTTCCTGGTTCGATTGAAAATCAGAAAAAATTAATGATCAGTTCTTTATTAATTCCTGTTATAGGAACTCTAATCAGCAATTAACTTACACCAGACGATAATGACAGTGGACTCAGGTGCAATAGGCTATTTTCCAATTTACTGAATAGTCAACAGCGGCTATTTCTGCATCCGACCGCAGTTGGGGAAATTATTTGTAGGTCTCCACTGCCTGCGCACAAGACCATTACCACAAAATGGCAATATGACAAATAATGACAGTAGCCATTAGAATTGGCGATTAGATCCTGCAGACATCGATGAATTTTTTCATCGATTAAATTTCACCCAACAATATTTCAATCAAATTCAACGAATTCGGAAAATAACCGGTAAACTGATGCGATGAAAATTTCTGGATAATGTCGTTGCGGATTTAATGGAAATTGCTTTGAACTCGGTTGTCGAGTATAACAATATTTTATAAATGATCAAAGGAGTCGGACTAAAGGGATTCTCTCCCTTGATCCGCTCGTTAGAGACGAGCTCGAGGAAGAAGTTGTCAAATTCATATGCCTGAGGTATCACATGACCTAATGAACCGCTGTGCTTTCATTAACTCAATTAAAGACCATTCTGAAGATAAAAATTCACTTCATTATCACTCACCGGAGGGGAAATGAGTTACTCGTGAGTTACAAGTAGCGGACGTCTCTATGAGTCCACAAAAATATTGAATTCAATTGAGAGATGAAAATAAATTTTATTTCGAAAATCGATGAAAATGAATTTTTTTGAAAATTCTCGGGAAAACTCGTGAGTTTCAAGTAGCGGACCTCTCTAGCAGTCCAACAAAATATTAAATTCAATTGAGAGACGAAAATAAATTTTTTTTCAATAATCGATGAAAATAAATTTTTTTCGAAAATCGACGAAAATGGATTTTTTTGAAAATTCTTGGGAAAACTCGTCAGTTTCAAGTAGCGGACCTCTTTATCAGTCCAAAGACAGATTAAATTCAATTGAGAGATGAAAATCAATTTTTTTTCGAAAATCGATGAAAATGAATTTTTTCGAAAATCGACGAAAATGAATTTTTTTGAACATTCTCGGGAAAAACGTGAGTTCTGAGTAGCGGACCTCTCTATCAGTCCGAATACAGATTGAATTCAATTGACAGATGAAAATAATTTTTTTTTTCAAAAATCGATGAAAATCCATTTTTTCGAAAATCGACGAAAATATTTTTTTTCGAAAATCGACGAAAATAAATGTTGTGTGTGAAAATTCTCGGGAAAACTCGTGAGTGCTGAATAGCGGACCTCTCCATTAGTCCAAAAAAATATTGAATTCAATTGAGAAATGAAAATAGGTTTTTGTTCATTATGGCTAAATATACATGCAAAAAAAATGACTCCAATTCGAGAATTCCTCGAGTTATGAGTAAATAATAAGTTGATCGTTACTATGAGAAAACCAGGCTCGTGAATTTCGCGTGGGAAATCCCTATTGGAATACGATAGGCCCATTTGTGGTGTACAGGTTTATCTACACCACATGATTACATTTCGATTAAAGCAGAATGAATAACTCTCGAGCTAACAACCACGACAATAATGGCCCGAAGGACTATAATACTATCGGAGAACTCCCAGCCTTACGGCCCATAAAATTCTCGACAACCCGCAGCCCTGACAAATTTACATTGCGTGATGGAAATTCACGTTCGCCCTCTCCATTCCCTGATAACAGATGAAAATAAAATTACTCACTTTCTTCCTCGGACAGATCCTCACCGAGACACTGCAGAACTGCTCGCAGATCAGAGGCCGTGATGTACCCGCGGTTATGTTTATCAAACACCTGAAAATATAGAGGCATTTGTCAAGGTTTTAACTGTGAATGTGAATATACGAGGGGGAAATCCATGTGTCAGGCAATTTTCGAGTCATTGGAACGTGGGTGACTGCCTCCAGGCGATGAGACATTTCATATTAATATCACGAAGATCAGAAATCACGATATGAACAGGAAAGTGGGAATTTCGGGGTTATTATGGACCCCATTTCGTACGTGGAGTCACGTACGAATGCATATTGATGACTTCGGGATTGTTCTGAGGGAGAATAAAAAAAATATGTACCAAGGATTTATTTTTCGAAAATCTTTCTCATGTTGCACATGTTGCCAATGATTATCAGATTAATCGATGATTTTTTTTCAGATTGCCGATTAATCATCCTGATTGCTCACCCCATAATTTTTCTAAAGCCCCTCATTCATTTCAACGAGAAGCTTATTAATAATCGTAATTAAAAGCGTTTCATTAGTCTTGATTAAGAATTTCTTCTCATCAAAGTTGAAAACTTTTCCTTCGGCTTGATTAAATCATTTCATTACACCAAAAATTTTGCCGAAACTCCCAGAAATAGCAATATTAAAAAGTAACAATGATATTATCAATAATGATTATTGTGTATTCACTTGTCAGCATGTTTACGTTTTTTTGAGAGAAAAAAAAATTCGCTGTGCGAAATAAAGAGAAGAGATGAGAAAATCAAGAAGAGTTTTACGTGTGAGTATTTACCTGGATTTACTGGGCAGAAGGAAATTTTTGTTCCCGTGCAAATAAATAAGTCGAAGGCCTAGATCAGACAACAAACACCGAGACCCATTCGGGCAAAATAAATGCGATTATTGGACGATTTACTGGATGACTGTGCAATCGATCATTCGGTTAATTGCTCGTCGTTCAGTATCATCGGATAACCTACGAGGAAAATGAATTTACCACTGGGTCGCCCGGTGCATAAGAATCTGCACTTCATCATTAGCTCCATGCAATTCTCGTTCACCGGCACTAAAAAAAATGCAAATGTACCTGAAAAGATAATATATCTTGAGAACTTCTCTTGTTTGTGAGGGATATTTCACTCGGTCATGAAAAATTTACTTAATGAGATGCGAATTTTCCCTCAGTGCTTTACATTCTTCTTAATGAAAGGACTACCCTTCCCTTAATGAAACGATTTTCCCTTCGCGCGTTAAAAAAATCCCTCTGCCCTTGTCGTATTATCATATTCCACCGGGCAACAAAAAAGTTATTTCAACTGAAATGAAGATTTTCCAGTCGAAATTTTATCACGTCGAAGTAACAGGAAGAGGAAAATTCCGCGGACGAGTCAAGAGCGAAAATTTATTATCAGTATTTTCCGCTGATAACAAAAATTCGAGATTTATCGCAATAATTGCGACTGCAATCGATAAAACATTATGAGGAGTCAATCAGCCTATCAGAAATGATAGCAATAAAAAATAATTTTATCAAATATAATGAAATATATCAGTGCAAGTGTCCACTCCTCAAGTTCAATAAATTTAAATCTACAATGAAGTCATGAATTATTTCCTCCATTCCTCGTATTCAACGGATTGATACGACTACTTAAGGCTATGGAATTTAATATTCCGAGAATTCTTCATTATTTCTCGATCCCGCTCGGGGAATAGAAAAATTACGAGTGAAGAACAAGAAAAATATACGCTCATTGCATTCAATTTTCAAATCGAACTCCCCCATCTTCCATTTATCAATCCACTTTTATTGGACATTTTTATAATGTACTTGCCGGCTGTACAGACACTTCTTCACTCGCCAATTATTCCGCCCTGTTTCCTCCAGCGTTTCGTATCTGTCGACAGGTACCTCATGACATCGACCGAATGTTCATCAATCGGTGCATGCAATGTTGTTGTTTAATATTAGGGCGAATGGTTGCCGTGGAAAATTAATATTAATCGCATTAATATTAATTAATATTAATAGACGGTGCAGCAGGTGTTGGTCGATCTGCTAATTGAATTTATTAAATATCCGACGGATGTAATTTGTGGGAGGTGTTTCGCAATTATCGCCGTTAGGGCAGTTTTAATAATCCTGGAGGTAATAATTTCAATGGGTCTTTGTGGAAAGGAATCGGCATTTATCGAGTGATTCCACTGCTGTGATAAATATTTTATAACAATTTCACATTTAATTCATCGGTTTTATTTTAAATAATTAGCGGATTCGGTTTGGATGCTGATGTTTTAACTCTGGGGGTTGATCTTCTTGTTTCCTCGCACGTATACGTCGACTACTTGATCCCCAGGAGAAGACCTCTAAAAAGAGGTCTTTCATTTTTTCCCGGGTGTCCCCTGTCAATTGCAAAAAGGGCTGATGGATCTGAGGGAATTCCCTCACCTTTCATCAGCTCGGAAAATTACGGCCCTCACGGGGTAACGAGGGATCCCGTCAAATTTCACCGTCTCGCGTGCAACAACATCGTAAATGAATATATGTCGTTATTATTTTCTCTTTTTTTGGTAAGGCTATTTATTCTTACAATTCACGAGGTACATGCTATTGCTCTCAACGGGAGCTATGATGAATGAGAATGTTGGGTGAAATTACTCAACAGTTTTTTTTTATTGCCCGCAGGATATTCAAGTACTTTCCATTTTTTGTATCACTGAACTCTCAGTCAAGGGTTGAGCACTGAAATTTTTAGCGCACATTTTGTAGAAGCTTTCAGTTAGTCGCGAGATAAAGACAAAACTGAGTCATTAGGCGATGATTATCTCGGAATGAGTTGGCGATTCAGAGGGACTGATTACTCATTTGGTGGCATCGGAGCTTATTGTCTTACACCTAAAGTACCCACCAAACTACTGAGGTATTAAACAACTCTACAACAACTTGTGATGTAATCTTCAGGGCCTGAAATTCAGATCACAAATCGCATCGCGTGATTCCGGGGAGAAACCCTTGGGAGATGGGAGATTTATGTTTTCGCCCATTCTACACTGGAAATTTAAACAAAATAATCGAAATGTTCATTTAATTCTACGATGCAATATATTAAAATAATAATTAACGATTAAATCATGCGGGAATTGTGATTATAAATCGATCGATTATTTTTCCGGAAAATTGATTTGGCATGAGGTGCGGTCGAGTCGCAGGAGAGAATTGCAAATGGATTTCAGGGATTTTTTCGTTTTATTTTCTCTGTATGACCTGATGACATCAGGAAGACAACAGTTGTTGATTAAAATATCGATTTCATCTGCGAGTCGTTCCACAAACGTGCTGACCCGGTTAATTTCGGTGTCTCCATTTCAATAAATTTACAGTGATGATGAGAGCATCCGTCATTTGACTGGGAATACACAGGAATAACGCGAATTCACGATTTATTTCTGGGATTTACGGCGACAGTTATTTTACTTGGGAATATTAAATCTGGATCATGAAGGCGACAGCGCGTGCCTCACTGGTACTCTCTCTTAATTTTATTCGAATGAGAAATTTCCATGCAGAAGTTTTTCGGAATTCGGCAATAACTGCCGCTCAATTCTCAAGACTGGCGATTTAAATTCAACTGTTTATTTTTATTTTCCAATAATTCCGAATTATTCAAACAAAAAATAACGGATTGACCACTAGTCGAATTTTTTTCATTACACAAGCACCAAAGACTTTTCACAAATAATCAATAATTAGCCTATCATAATCATATTATTATTATTAGTATTAATTAATTAATTTCAGGAATTAATGAAGTCTTTATTTTTTATTCGAGAGGAGAAAAAATTCAATTGCCTTTTATTTTCGCTTCATAGATTGTTATTTTTTTTTCAGGGATTAATCAAGTGTTTGAGTTATGCGGTCACATGGAAAGCTAATGAACATGAAAATATCATTGTGTGCGGGCGTATGTTCTCATAAAGCTCTTGTGTATTTAATTTTAACGCATTCGAATTCGAGTGCCAGTGATTTAATCGAATTACAAATACCGAGTGGGTTGCATTTGGAAAATTTGAGAGGGAAAAAATGCGGAGGTTAAATGGTGTCAATAACGCACTTTAATCAGTGTCGAATGTCGCAGTCCACTTCGAGATAAAAAAAAAAACCCTCGAGTTTTAAAAACTTTTCCCGTCGCTTTTTCCAGTAACGGAGGACGCGCGAAAATCGATTTCCCTTCAGACTGTATTTTTCCCGGTCTGTTTTTTTTTTCAGTCGCTGATACTTCTGTTAATATCTTTTTTAATACCCCGGGATATTATCAGACCCACAATCGTTGAAACTTGCTCCCTGAATAATGCCTCCGTCACAAAAGTGATTCGAGGAGTTTTACCTCCGCATCTGATTCCTCGGGCAGATGTACTCCGGAGTTTATTGTATCTAAAATTTCGCGGAGTTGTTGCAATACCACTGTAACTTTATCTCTGAGTAACAGGATGTTCGCTTCTAGTGTTAGAACAAAGTTCGGGCAAAAATTTGGACGTAAGTACCTGGCGTACTAAGTTTTCTAATTCCATCAGTCCAAGATTACATTCAACGAGATCCAGAATTCATCATTCGGGGCGGGTAATACTAATCCTGAAATTGGAGTGAACCAGGAAATGTGAGAAAGTCACGAGGAATTAGTGTTTATGAGTGAGAGTAATGCGAAAATACAGTTTTCCCAAGTTCATGAACGAGCTATGGCACCACGTATTCCAATACACAACTGGAAATTCATAATTGAAATTTCCAGTAATTCCTTTCATCTGCCTAATATCATTCGCCACAATCGTCTCTTTAAAATAATTGAGAATAAATTCTTCATCGAGGAATTCCGAAGGAAATCGAGGAAGTTGATTTTTAAATATTATTTTAATCATCCCTTCCACGCTCTCCGATTTTTTTTTTTTCGGAGACATGTCCGTCAGTAGCTTTTTTTCTCTCGTTATTCCACAGCTTTGACTTCATGAATAACAATTCACTTTTGTTCTCCATTATTTTGCTTTTCCACGTAAAATTGCAATCATTATCCAGAGCGATCGAGAATAATCACCACAAAAATATATTTTCACTCGCCACAACGTGCATTCCGTAATTGTCCGGGATTTTATTGATGCGTGCGATCAAAGCACTTTTTACCATTCATGGAGACACAGTCATACGCGGGATTATTTTACAGTGCAACGAGTGATGATTTATCCGTAATGAATTCCAATGTTTTGATAGTGCACTCCCACATGTGAAGTGTTGCAATCATTGAAAAAGAAAATTAATTGACGCAAAAATAGCGGAATGAAATATCGGTTTGTGGATTTTTCAAATTGAAAGCAATAATTTGAAGTAAAATTGAAAATTATGTTGTATTGAATTTTTGAAAATATTTGAGGCGATTCTACGGGCATTTTAATAATTATTTCGATGATTGTCTTTCGAATAATTTTTGAATTTTATTTCTAGTTCGAAAACAGACTAGTGTGTTGAAATTCACGAGTCCTACACACCCCGGGGCGAGAATACAAATCAGCCCCCGCGAATCAACACGAGACAAAAATAAAAGAAAAGTGGGGAAAAAAGCTGGGGACAATGTCGAGAGATATTTTTCGGTGGAAGCAGTCCTCGCAGCGATTTTACATCACTCGTTTTCTCCTCGAATTTACATGATCCTTCGACATTCGCCACAAAAACTCCAAAGATAACAAAAAGCCGGGAATCCAAGAGGATAAATTAATGCTCGATAAATGTTGATATAATGACCGATTAAAGTAGATCACCTGGAAATTCCAGTGGGATTGGAAAAAAAAGGTAAAACTATCGCGAGGGAAAATAAAAGTTTCATCGAAACAAAACTGTGAAAACAATTTTTCTGCGTTTGCATCGAGGGAAAAATGAGAAGTTGAAGTTGGAAATTCTTGAAACTTTTATTATTCCAGTCATATCATCATAAACGATCAGTCCAATGGTGCGGATATAATAAGCCGGCCCTCAGGAACTTTGCGAACGATCGCTCGTACCACATTTTCCACCAAATTCGCGGACGCAAAATTATTCTGTTTAATTATTTTCATTATCCACCCGAAGACACGTGCATTGTCCTCATTCACGAAAAAACCACAATAATTCGTATCATGTGTCAAAGTAATTTATTGAGGGGATGAAATCTTTTTGCAATTCGAATAAACTCAGAAAATAATAAATGATTGAATAATACTCCACCCTCCAATTTTTTCCACATAATCATTTCTCGTCTTCACAATTTTTTCGTTATTGTATAGAGATCCATTTTTCACGTGGTGCGACAATTGGTCGAACAAACGATCGTAAAATCGACAATACAAATGTGGGTTGAAGGTGGAGTTGAGTACGTCAGCTGTAAGACGGTTTTTCCGAAAATGGTTAAGCGAGTTAGATTGAAACGGGAAGAAAATAGAAGATAAGATGAAGTGAATCGACAGAGTCATGGAAGCAAAGCAAACTGACGAGTTGAACATGTTTTTATTTCCTCTCTTTCTGGGGATATAGGTGCGGTAATTCTACTATTTTTCAACTGAGGTGAACTCGTTGCATTCATTCTCAGCGGCAGTCCAGAGATTGCCGGACATTTTCACGCTGCAAAGCGAACGGAAAATTCATTTATCCAACCGTAAATTACGTGTCCAGCGGGTTCGGGGATTTGAAGTGATAGCTGTCGTACAGAGGATGGGATCAAGAGACTGATGTGGAGAAAAATCGAGAAAATTTTCCACTGATATTGCCTATTTTTTCGCTCATCTGAAAAATAATTCGACTCAACTGGAAATAATTGCGGAATTAATTTGATTCCACCGGAAATAATTGAAAAATCTATTCTTTTATCAAATCTATTATTTCTGCGACAAAGATATTCATTGAATTTCTCGATTCCCAGGTGGAAAAGCTGGACTAATGACCGGATTTGATAACTCCGTTACCCGAAATGGCGACGAAAATATCAGTGAATTGATGGTGGTAATGAGGGCGATTCGCGGGGACTCGGGAATTAATTATCATCATCAATACCGAAGTCTGAGATCCACGATGAAATTAAAAAACTTGGGAATGGCCCACAAATAGCTGAATTCACTCCATTCGGCTTTTGGTATCAGACCTGGTGCTTTATGCTATCATCCCTCAGGCTCAGCTTCGCCGTTTAATTTGCGCAGATTTAATTGTCCTTCACTAACAGATTGGGGCCGTTAAAGACCGCCTGATATTATTTTCGTAACAAGTACGCAGGAATTAATTACTTCTTGTTAACTGACACACTGACTTACCCACGGGAAGGATTTAACCGAGTTTTCGCTCCTCTTTTTACTCAATTTTCATTGTTCTAATGCTACCAAAGCGGATTAACTCCATGCACAGCTGATTGCACACGAGATAGGACTGATATTTATTTTTAATTACCGAGTATTTAAAAACTGCAATGACTGGCACGAGTTTTTCATTTCTATTTAGTAAATATGAGGGATATTTCAGGGAAGTCCCCAATTGTGAGACCGATGGCGAAAAATTATCTGGGAGTAATTAATGGAAATTGTTGAAGATGGAATTATTCACAAAATTATTGTGTATAAAATTCAGAAAATTCACATTCATTTTTCAGAATAATTCTTTTCTCTAGAATGCCAACTGTCTAGTTTTTCAATGCCAGCTATCATTCAATGCATAAATCTTCCTTCACATGCAGTTGGACGCCATTCCCTCATAATTTATAGTCTATCCTTCAGACTAATTATTCTTTTCACTTATATTCATTCGTCCTCTTCGCAGGATCCATAGAAATAAACATGGGAGTAAAAACTGGAGAGAAAATGCAAAGTCAAAAAAATGAAAAGTCGAAAAAATGAAAAAATCATTTCAATTAAATTCGATTAAAGAAATTCCTTGGAGTTCCAGTGGGGAGGATATACGCCAAAAAAAATTTATCAGGCATTGATATGATTTTTAATTTTTTAATTCTTCATGAAGCCATGAATTTTTGTGGTGCATTTATTTTTTTCAAATTCAAAATTCAAATTTTCATACCCGGAATGCATCCCGGAGCTCTTGTTCCTCTTGCTCCTCTTGACTGAGGTCTGTCTGCTGAGCTGCACTGGCATTTCCAATATTGCTGACGATTTTCACGAATTCCACTAAACTGACGTTTCCGTCACCTACAACAATTCAAATCAATTATTTAAAATTGCACTTTATAATTCGTAATAGAACGATATTTTTATCGACTTTCAATCACGCTAATTATCGATTCACATTAATTTCCCATTAATTTCATTTTTTTTTTCTAAAGTGTCTGACCAAAATGGCGCACCAAGCCGTGGAATTTGTCTTGTGGGAGGATTGAAGTAACGGAGGAATTCCGGGGAATTTAGGGGAGTAGTTCGCAACTGGGATGTACAACAAAGTTCGGAAATTGTGAATTTATGGCGGCTCCTCGTTTGTTCATCAAGTGAGACATTTTTAATTCCCATTAATTCTCGTATTCAGATGAAAATTATTCCCCAAAATTTTTCTCTGTGTGTCTCGTAAAAAATTAAACTGGGGACAGCATTCAGTCTGCGTTGTGATTGAAGAGTTGAACCATCCGCACCTTCTCTTCTTATAAAATATATTTGTGACGCGGAGACGGCGACCTGGGGCCTCATAACCCGGCAAATCCCCCCTCGGAATAGCGTTCCACAATTTATCGTTCGATAATCGAGTTCTAGTATCGTTTCAGGGATCGAAATTTATAAGCCCTGGGGTTTATCGAGAGTAGGAATTCCCCCCTCATCGGAAGTTGGAGGAATTCATTCGGATATATTCCCGAGGGCCAGTAACTCCTAGATCAACTGAGGACGTGACTGCGCAAAATGCACCCCCAAAAAATTATCATCGATAATCATTATGAAGAACAAAAAAGATTTTTCGGTTGAGAAATATTTCGTCTGACGAGCAAATTATCGAAATTCTCGTTGGAGTGAAACTCGAGGGGAAATCTCCCCTGAATATTTCACAATTCCGAAAAACACAAAAAGCGACATGATGAAAACAAGAAACGAGTAAAGCCGAGAGGCAAGAGATTATCCAGCAGTCAGAGCGATTTTATCATGTTCCAGATCCCGTTTACACCTACGTTTATCGCGGACTTGAATCCGCTCAAGTCCCGAGTGCTTCTGAAGTGACTTCTGCACTCCACTACGAAACGAAGGGACATCTAGACACTGAAAAAACGGAAATGTGAGAAGATTTTACTGTCAGTTTCCGGTTACTCGTTGTTATCATCCAGTGCCACCAGCTTATCTAGGAGCGAACAGCGAGAAAAGTAACAAATCATTGGAAAAAAAAAAACAATTCAAATAATACGCTAGTGAAGAATGATTTGAAACCCAATGAAATTGATCATTCAAAAATATCATACCTTTACCGAGTAAATCTCTGTCAAGCAATATTTTCTGGCTCACATGATCACTATTTCGCGGTAACCACTTGTCCCATTGTGTAACCCAGCAAATACATAACATTGTTGATGCTTGGACAACCGCAAACAACCTGGAATGTTTCACTGAAGAATCTGCATGCGGGAATGAAGCTGCGGAGGTTGAGCAAAGGTGCGTGCCAGAGATTTATCGCATAAACAGCTACCAGCAGAATTTCGTATTTCGCTGCACACGAATGATAATTTTCCCACGAATTTCCGTGAAAATCTCCCACACCCAACGATCCACCCACATTTCCTCCCTCCCCCATATTTTTAATTAATTTCTATATAATCGCAAAAGTCACACAACCATCGTAATTATCACGAACAATAAATTCGCTCATTACATTATTAATATATCATTATTTGATTAAAAATATTTCATTGTGATTAATAAAAATGATAAGAGGTGATGAGTGATAAGGTGAACCGAACAAAACCGTCGATTTTCGATAAACGTCTCAAGGTGTCCGCCAATATTTCCAATAATTGACTTTTCAATTTTGCCAATTCACCCCCAACCGTGTTCTCTTTCAAGAGCAGCCCCATTGACAGGGATGAGGGTAACACGGGTGGAGTGTCCAACGTCTTTTGTACCTTAAAATACCACTTGGTCTTGTATTACCACTCGTGTTAGGTGATTCTCCTTGGTAGAAAAGTTTGCGAGGGCATTGCGACCCCCGGGGTTGCCAGTAGAACCCGAGAGACAGCCCCCGCTGCAACACCTACCGGCTCATCTTCTTAAAGGAGAACTACTCCTCCATATGCCCCTTTTTCCCTCTATTTTTCCTCAATTCTCCCTTTTTCCTCCATTTTCCCTCAATTCACTCTCAATCCCTAGCCATTCATCCCGAACAATCTCCGTATTTTCAATTTATTATCAACATTTAACAATTATTTTTATAATTAATACATATTAATCACAGAATTACAGAAAAACAGAATTTTATTCAGGTAAAAAATCGGTTGACTGTGCATTTGTGGGAAATGGCGATTCTGAAATCCTAGAAATGCGCGATTCCACAGATTTTATTAGTGCAGTGCTTTTATTGTGAGGTGTCATGGAATTGAGGGTTACGAGTGATGAAGAAACAAGGGAAGTAACACTTTGGATTCATAGGAGTTCATTTCGACTCAGCAGTTTACGAGATCCAGCTGTAAAACTTTTTATCCTTCAAAATTTATCCTCGCAATACCTGGGAACTGCTGCAATCAAATGTGTCGTCTTTATTTCGATCTTGAGTGGAATTTCCTTGAGTTTTTCATGAGACTACAACCTTCAATCTCATCACCAGTGCAAACGAGATATATTTCGGATTGAGGCGTTGATGGGATATTATTTCACTTCCCTTTAATTTAAAAACAACTCGAGTTCGTTAATTATTGTCGAAACATTAATTTTCAATACCGAATCCTTAGCAATTAATTAAACAATAATTAACAGTTACCATTTGTCTACTTCAAGCAATTTCAAATTCAATTCAATTGATTGAAATAAAAAATAATTATTTTTTATGTGGAAAAATCCTTTTGAATGAAATATTCATCGAATTATCCCGGATTTTTTCAATCAACTCCGAATTAATCGAGTTCCATTAATTCACATCGAATCAAGCTGAAATTACCAGTTGAAATTACTCATTCATTTTTTTTTATCAAATCCCGAATTATTGATACCAAAATGTACCAAAATGTATTTCCACGAAAAATGAAACAGAGCGGTTGAAATAATAGCGATAAAAAAATTCTTTCCAAACTAAAAATTCCATAATTTATCCCCGAAGATCAGAAACTCCTGTGAAGTGTAATTCCCGTGATTAGCATGCCCGTCTCACTCGCGTAATAAATAAGTGGCACACACCCCTGAAATTGTAAAACCAAATTACCAGTTTAGAACTCTGTCATCGCGTTAGAAACACCTCGACATAAGTTGAGGCTAGTATATTTATAAATGCAAATCGCCGAATGCGCAGTAGGAGGTAAACTTTGAAAATTTCATTCAAAATATAACTTTGAGCATTATATGAGAGACGAGTGGTATTTTTTATATGGCATTACTCGCATTTCCATTCATAGTGGTCAAATCTGAGGGAAAATTTCTCACCGAGTGTTCATTTAGGGAAAGAATGAGACCGGGAGCTTTCGTATTTTCCATTACGGTATGTATGAGGCCAACGATGCATTACCATCCGTAAAAAATTACTCAACCACTCAAGTATATTTTTTTTCCTCGAATTAATATGAATTATCATCTCTACAAATATAATTAAAAACATTCATTACCCAATTATAATTTTTTTCGTTCCCAAAATATTTTTTTCACTACCAAATATTTCTCGAAATTTCAATGAAATTGTTGCTTGAATGTTGAAAAATAAATAATTTGACAGGATTGATTAAAAATTGATTAGTAAAAAATTATTGGTAACAGCGAGTTTTTTTTTTTTTTTTCGAATTACTCATTCGAGATTTTTTAATTTCCCTGTGTGTTGATTGTTGCTCTCCCACCGAATCATTGATCTGGCACCGGATGTCAATGATCATTGACCAATTATTGACGTAATTATCTCAACGTTTGTTTCGTGAATCCGAATTCAACAGGGATGTCTTGTTTACCCGCGAACGACGAATCGGCGAGCCATCCATCGGGGCGCAATCGATCATAAATGACGACATAGTGATCGGTTAATCGGGAATATTGGGGAGGAAATGCCGGATGAATTCGTTGCTTGTTACCATGAGCAAACGATGGAGAACATCATCATGGGTAAGCATTATTGATTTTCACAGAGTAATTGGCTGGTGCCTTTTCAATCCCTCCATCATTACATTTTCAATAACTAATTGATATCGAAATCTTATCAATATTGAAAGACAATCTTTGATTCATTAATCGTTTCAATCAATTTTGAACCACACACTTTTGAAAAATCCATTCATTCGCGAATAATTGAAATTTATGAGTCGCAAATTACCCGATGGTTTATACGCCTGATTTACACCGGTTCGGGATAAGAGATAACCATCGATTGCAGTTAGTGCTCGAAGGAGCGTGTCCTAGGTAATTTTCCAATAGGGAGGATGCAGCCTGGAATGGAGAAGTTAGGAATGCTGAGTGGTGAGTACCACCTCGGGTTTATTGACGAGTGGTCCATTGAATCGATCGTAAGACCGTGATAACCCACATTAAACACCCGATGACGATTGTCAGAGTGGATTAGGATTATCAACTCTGACCTGACGCTGCGGTTCCACTTCTCGGAACATCTTACATTGTAATTATCCGATGAATGTCAACCCTGAGGAAATCAAGACATCACATCGAGTGGGAAATCGGGAAATAAATTTTCTACACGTAGATAAATAGTCAATTTTCATTTTTCGTCTTGTTAAATAATTCGTCCGTCCATTGTTAGTCCATTGTTAGTCTATAAACTCTTGCTGAATTTGTTTTACCCCTATAAAATCCATTCTCGTCTTCAGTTTTATGGAGATCGATAAAAATGCATTGAGTCCAACGAAAATTCACCTCATGAAAGTCAAGATGTGCACGATGGGTTGTGTAACGATGAGAGGATTGTGAGTGCGGGATCAAATGAGGAATGAAAAAAAAGGAGAAATGAAGGGGATGTTTACCGACATACGATATACACGATATATCACGTCTCTGTAAATCTCGACCTGTGTGAGATACCCCGTAAAATTTTCCCTCTCTATACATTGAGTCGCTCATGCCGAGATTGTAAGAAAACGTTCTCGAGTTTGAAATACTCAATAGAAAAAAGAAAAATGTTATTGAGGTGCGCGATCCGGAGTGGAATATGTAATGGGAAAATTCCAGGGGTGTATGGCACTCGGAAAAATGGAATAATTTTTTCTAATGTTATAAATCCATTCACCTTCGGCTTCCAGGACTGTTCAAGAGAACTTTATTAGAGAGAAATAGTGAAATATCCGAGAGACTGGGAAATCCCGTGAATCATTTTATGATATAATGTTCCGAGTTAAAAATATCTCCCGTATGTTTGAATGACCGAACAAAAAAAAATTGGAAAACTGGGGATTGAAAGGCGCGAATGGGATTATTATTTGATTTTTATTTAAACAATTACTCACCATCGGTGTCAATTTCTTCTAACATTGTGCGAAGTTCCTCAGTTCTGGCGAATTGTCCTAACCCCCGCATTACTCTCCCAAGTTCCTCTTTCGTGATGCTCCCATCTCTGTCTTTGTCGAAGAGATTGAAAGCTTCTTCAAATTCTATAAAATCCAAATAAATTCACAAATTACAAAATCAACCCCCAGATTTTCATAAAAAAAAAATATAAACATGTCCTCTTGAGGTTTACCACACAGATCTCGTAGAATGTGAGACCGATAAAAATTACCTTTCATCTGTGCTTTACTAATTGATGGCATTCTGTCATCGGAACAACTGGTGGATCCCCTCCGGGCATCCGGCAATTCAAAGAGCAAACTAGTTGTCAATCGAGTTTGTCCACCAGCTGAGGTGGCGGAGGGCCCAGATATCGATGAATTACCACCCGTAATCGAGGAATCGCATGAAGTTTCACACGTAACCCGAATAGTCTCACCAAAACTACACTCATCACCTCTTCTCCTCGCGCACAGCTGTTTATTAACCTCGGCCATATCACTCGCAATGTCACTCTGTCGTCTCTGATTGCCAGTCGGCAGCCCCTGCCTTGTCCCCGTCAACTTGTTCCCCTCATTCGGTACCGGTGGCTTCCGGATATCCGGCCAGGTAACGTCGCTCACCGATGGCCTGGAGGAACTACCCCCCACCGATTCCTCCTCATCGCCAACCCCCTCTGTGTCCTTGCGCGTCTAAAATCACAATAAAAAATTAAAAACACTCGATTATCATATATTTTATATTTTATCACACATCATCATGCCTAAAAATATTTAATTAATTCAGGTTTCAAAGCCATCAGGCATGTACATGAATAATAAATCGAGACACTGAGCAATAGCATAAAATAATAATACAAAATTCTCTTGGATATTGCGCCAATAAAATCTTCGCGAGGATTAAATCCCTCCTCTCCTTCCGACTATTCCATTACAAATCGGTAACACCGTTGTTCATGTGTAGATTTAACGAGAGATTTATGAGAAACCATAATTAAATAATCCTGTGATCTCCACGCTAACCTGTCAAATTTTATCCAATTATTTCGCACGCGCGATGAGGGGAAATAATTATTCATTAATTCGCCATTTACGGGAAATTACATGTATAGAAATGCCATTCACCGAATCACCTCCTCAGGGCTCAATGGCTCAGGAATGAATTTGTACATGAAATACTCAACCCGATGACGACGTGTTTGAATTTTCCCTTGAAAAACGGCATCAAAGTGCTCACTCTTCCGGGAATTCATACTCCCTCAATCCCATTCATACTGTAATCCCTTCAACAGGTAAATTACACTCTGTGACATGCAAACATGAATATCCGATGCGGGCAAAATGAGCCCAAATCACTCATCATTGAGTACGAAAATATTTTCCCGTTCCGGTCACTAGCTCGTCCATTTAATTCCCTCTAATTATTCTCCCCAAGTGGCGAAATTTCCTGGAATAAACAATGAGTCGTCGTGAAAATTATTATAATATTTTGAACAATTGAAAACTAGTTGGGATGGGATTTCCTCGAAATGTTGACGAAAAATCAGTCAATTAACTCCGATGAATAATGGAATGAGACAAGTTCTCTCTTCAGCAAGAACCCGGATGCTGGGCCACCTGTTAATCTCTGCTGTATAGAGCATTGGTTGCACTATCCAGAGATAATAGCTGTTGCACAACACAAACAAAAACCATCACGTTTCGTTGCCACGGGTTTTATCGTTCCATCTACAATAAATTGAATTTTATTCTTGGAAAATGTTTAAAAAAATTTTTCAAAAATTTGTATCGGAAATTTTTTTTATAATTTTCTAGAAATTTTCGTGAATATATTTTTTTCAATTCTACTGTCATTTTCTTCGCTTTTTAATTTTTCAATATTCTCAAAAAAAAAAAACGCCATGTGAATTATAAAAAGAATTTTCCTATTGCAATTTTGAAAAATTTTTCAAAACCTTTCCCAAAAATAAAATGATTTTGTTTTTCGATTTATTTTCGTTTCATAAAAAGAAAAATTCTGAAAAGTTCTCCAGAAATTTTTTGAAAACTTGGAAAAAATATTGCGATTAGAATTTTTTTTTGCCCAGATGGGTTTAGGTGTATTTCATGTAATTAATTTATTGTTGGATAATGGCGGTTATTGACACGGCGATATGTAGTGAATCAAGTAGTTAATGTCAGCAGGTGGTGAAGCCCGAGTAATTCAGCTGAACGACACTGACATATCGGCATATCGTGGCTCAATGCACAAGGGACACGACCCTAAGTGTCAATCCAGGACGTTGATTAGTTGCTTTTCTCAATCGATTGCTCTTAAAACTTCTTAAACCAGCCGATCCGATATTTAAATCGATTGCGCCATCAAAAGGCGAACTGTACCACCTGAATATTCGATATTTAATGGAGTTTTCACCGCGGACACATTTACATGGGTGAAATGCAAACGTTTCAAGTGAAATTTTATTTTCCCAGGAAAACACGAGATTTCCTTTGCTGGGCCGTGGAATACCGCGGAATTATGCTCAGCATTTCATTCACAAAGGACCAACAGGCATTACCATAGGAGTAACGGCATTAGCATTGAAATTCAGTGACGTGGCACCGCCCTCAAACCATCGAAAATAACGTACGCATATTTTAGAAGGAAATGCAAATTTTTTTTCGGGGGCATGTGTTGCTGGTATGTCAGCCTCTCATAATTTTTATGAACGATGTCCTAGTACTTGGGATGCGACCAATAAAACCATTTAATCGTTCGCGTGAAAATTTTATGGGCTCGGGTATATACTCAGGAATTCTATTGAATTTTCTCGGTATCTATTGAAAATTTTATTTAAAATGATTTATAAAGGTTTCCAGTGAAAAACTATTAAGGGAAAAAATTAATCCCGGCTTTGAAGAAGATTTAGGATTTTTGGGAGCGAGAGAAAAAATTTTTGGTTTAATAAGATTTTTTATATGATAATGAAATTCTCGGGCATGACAGGGGCCTGATCTAGGGACTTCGAGGGACAAACAAATTCTCAATTCTCCAATCATTCAGATAGATAGATCGTGTCGTTTATCCAACTGTCGTGCAGGGAATTGCATCAGGAATTCTTCTGCATCCAGTAGTTGACTAGATCTCAAGGCACGAGGGCAACTTGTAAAGAATAATACCAGAGGGAACGATTGGATAGTTTTCAATGTCCCCGGGAAAACCGACTGGGAAAAGAACTTTGAACGATAATGATAAGCAGAGCCAGTTCGAATTTATCCCACGAGTAATCGACTATTCCCCTCAAATCTATTTGAGGTAACGGTCTGCGTTAGAACCTCGACCAATCGAATTAACTTTAATTCTAGTCAGCCGATATCGGCATTCTGTCTCCAGTATGTAACACTCGTACCTCTCAAGAACTTAGTTGTTCGTACTTTTCGTTCAAGGCCAAGCCCCATCATGAATCCATTACGTTCCAATTGCAACCAGCGAATATAATAGCCAATAAAATAGCCAATACATAGCCCAAGAATAATTCAAAATAATTTATAATTATTTATCTCCGAATTCCAGGACTCACAGACTAACAACGAGATTTTCCTGCCTTAGATAAATCCTGAATGTAGTAAGCCTGGAATTCTGTAGATAATTCCAGAGTTGAATTTGAGATTTATAAACAATTGCATCGCCCCCGGAATTCATTGATCCAATCAAATAGAAAGCTTCAATTAGCTGTAACATAAAATTTTTTTCTCCAAAGCGCAGATTAATGCTCGCAATAATCCGGGAATAATGAAATGTGTTTTTTTTTCATAAATCTCCTTCATTCCTCATTTCTCGGGGGAAAATCGTGCAAACAGTGGAATACTCGGGCAGAGAGAGCCCTGCAATCACACTGAAACAGTAAGATGAACTGCAGGAGATAAAACAAATGAAGGACCAGCTGAAAAGCTGAAGATGAGGGTCCGGAGAGAGGAGAGAGTTGAAGAGGAATTGGGGGGAATCAGAGGTGCAAGACACGAATCTTATTTCAGTCGGCCAATCAAGCAGAGGTTTTCCTACTCCACCTCATTTTCCTTCTGTCCTACGTACAATTACCTCTCGCTATTTTTCAAGTCACTTGAAATGGCGAATCAACTGTGCAATTAAATCTATCACTGCTCCCCGCCATTGACAATAGAATCTATCGTCCAATTTTATCTAGATTCCAGAGAAGCTATGAGCAGAGTAAGACTCACTGAATCTCAATTAAGTCCGGGTAATTTCGATATCTCGAGAATGGAGCGACTGCAGGTGTGGACAATCGATTATCTCGAAAATGATACAATCTGCACTGAGTATCACTCCGCTTCGATTTTTTTTTTTTTCTCTTCACTTTATTGGTCTTTCGGTGGCCTACGGGGCTGGTTAGCACTGATTCTCTTGGGTACTCGTAAAAAAGAGCTTAATGGAACGAGCTGGTCATTCAATCGGCGGTAATCGAACCGCTCCGGTTTTCGATAATCCTCGAGCTAAGTGAACATCGGTTTTTGGATCAGTTGACCGATATGAAAACGGAAGTTACTCGGTCAGCAGTATTATGATTGCTTTCGAATTTTCGGGTTGGATTCTTCATGATTGAACTCCGATCCCGCTGCAATATTTTTGAGTGTAAAATTGTTGTTCACAAATTTACAATGAAGTTTATTCTTTTAATGTAAAAAATTTTTAATGTTAATTCATTGCAGATCAGAAATTCAATGGGTCAGAATGATCTTTGCGAATTGGAGAAAAAAGGATGGGGACACAAAGACTCTTTTGAAAACTAGTCAAAGTTGAAATTCCATTTTACCACGTGAAATCATGTTCTCCATCGCGAGAAAAGTGGTTATCGGAAATACTTTGCGATATGATTCAGTCAGTATTGGCCGTGAAAAGAAAGTGAAGAATGTGCCAATGAGATGTTGATGGAAAAATGGAGGGGTGAATGGGGTGAGTTGTACAATAGAAAGAATGTGAAAGCATTCGATTGAGTTAGACATCTGAAAGATAGAGAAGTTACTCCGGTGGATATTCATTCGGCCAGAGAGCACAAAGGCATCACCACTGGTCCGATGAAAATCGACAAATAGGAATCGAATACCGTCGGAATAAATATTTCTTCATTCTCTCACACATCTCCCCAACCAATCCTCAAATTTGAAATCCGTCAAAAAAAAAGAGACTATTAATTCCGCCTTTGTCAATCCAAAATCACTTAAATTTTCTGTTAAACCCATAACTTAATTGTCTACGATAAAAAATAACATCGCCACGTAAATTTTCTTAATCACTCGATCGACATTTTTATTGCTCTCTCAAGTGGAGAATTCAGAAGAAAATGACAGCAAAGGGAGAGAAAATTTCGTGGAGTAAAAAGTTTCTCTTGGAATCCTGAAGATGTTGGATAATGTTTACGACCCCCGGTCTCCCTCCATTCATTCTCATCCTGAATCTCACCGACGTACATAATCACGTCTGAAACGGGACAGACGTACATTACTATTAACTACTGGCAGTGTGACGCTTGCTTACTGTCTAATAGCACTAGGCCATCATCATTGTAGCACTCTTGGGACAACAACCACCACTACTCGTGCATTTCTTGGTATCTCAGTAGTCGGAGACTGGATTTCCGGTGTAATTCGTACCCGGTGGCAATGTGAGTGATGGCCCTTGTTTACTGAGACATCAA